AGAGAGAGAGAGAGAGAGAGAGAGAGAGAGAGAGAGAGAGAGAGAGAGAGAAGGTCCGGGCTCCTTGCTTTAACCCGGAAAGGCATTGCCAGAGACTAGTTGAACAACGAATCAATTCGCAGTTATCGGTGTACGACAGAGCACCTTAAGGAACTGCCAAACAGTCATTGGCTCTCTGTGCGGATTGCCAAAAGCACTCTCACGGAACGTTGATGTCAGGTTTAAGTTATGTCCTGATCTGTTTGTTGATTGAACACTTTCAAGAAGTGTTAAACGGTCGTTGGTTGTCTGCGCGGATTGCCATTAGCACTTTTAGGGAACGTTAATGATGGGTGTGGATCTGTTTCCCACAGGTTATCAGTTTTTGGGCACTCTTTGAAGCTGAAGTCCGCCACTGGTGCTAGTTTGGTGGGTCTGTGGTTGGCCTTCTTGTTGGACCTGGATCTGTTTCGAGCAGAGTTTTGCACTCCACAAATAGAATTCAACTTCAGGTCCTACAGGTTAGTAGTTGTTGGGAAGTCTTCGATGCTCAATCACAGTTGTTAGGAAGTCGGGCATAGTCTCGCAATTTGACAGCAGCAACGCGCTTAGAAGAACTTACAGAAAATTCCAAAAATTTTAGGCTTCACAGATTTGCTCGTGATCATTCTAAAAAAAATATCAAAAATTTGAAGGAAACACTTGTCGTATGCCAACCTTGCCATGATGGAGGAGTCAATTTCACATTTGGCAAGACATGACTCAAACGACAATCTTTTCCGCGATTCATCCATTTTGTCGATAAGACAGAAGACCTTTAAATAAAATATCAATTTTTTGCGAACTTGCATAAATGATCAGTCTTCCAGTGACAACACATAAGTTTACAAATGTTGCTAATCATCCATTTTGACGAAAGCCTCATATCGATCCTTCGGCGACAAACAACGTCGAAGCACATGGGTTAAACACACATACATTCTGGCGATAGCAGATTTAATGATCAATTTGTCGAACTTGCCTTTATGAACAATTTTTTGTCGACAACACAAAAGGTAATCATTTTGCCAAATTTGTGGACATGAACGGTCTTATCACAAATGTATGACATCCAAAGTGCAAATATGTTCACATTTGTCATACGGAAACAACAGTCAGCATTTAGTGGAGAATACGAGACGTATTTTGGGGAAAAAAAAATGGGTAACCATTTAGTGCACCGCTGAATTTTCTGGAGTGCATAAAATAACTTCAAGCACACGTACATTCCTGGCGATAATTGGTTTCCGAATTGAGAATAAGTTTGCAATTGTCATATGGAACCAACAGTCAGGATTAAGTGGAGACAATAAGGATAATGGTTACGGGGAGGAGGGCACAACAGAGGGGTTGAACCGTAAAACGGGGCGGTAGGCGCAGAACAGAGACGAGCCAAAATATGTGAAAGTTGGGCGGTCGGGGTGGGGAGAGGGGGAGGGGGGCTTTCACACCACAAAGTCTCGCGTAAGAAAGAGATAAACACGAAAGAAATTCAATTTGGTGACTAAGAAGAAATCATTGATATCTTTCACCAACATCTTGCTAAATGAACCAGAGTACTGAGTCCTACGAGCACGAGTGTAAAGAATGTCCACAAGAGGACAAAAATATCCCATGAGTAACACATGAGCACAACCTAGAAACGAATAAAGGCGGCACGGCGCTGTCGCAGTGGTGAAAACCTGGAAACGAATAAAGGCAGCACGGCGCTGCCGCAAAGAACAACCCGAAAACAAAGTTGGGATATTCGCATCCGATATCTAAGCGTCTACTTAAAAGATACTGCACCACGTGGCTGGGAAATTAACATCGACATTTAAGCTTCTACTTCACCTAAGCGCCCGCTGCAACCCTCTAGCTGATGTTGCTCGGCAAGGAATGAGAATAACCTGAAAACAAATAACGACAGCACTGCACTGCCGAAAGTTTGACGAGTGAAGTTGACAGGTTCCTCGAAATGAAGAACCGTTTAAAAAATACTACAGCACGAGGCTGGGATATTCACATCGACACCTAAGCGTTTACTTTATCAAAACGTCAACTGCAATCCGCTACCTCGTCAAAACAACAGCACAGCTCGAACCAGCTGACTGCTAGACTAAGTGGGAATAGATTCGCACTTCTGCTTATGGCCTTTCGAATAAAAAACTTCGCTTATTTTCAAAATAGGGGCATCATTCTGAGCCCTGGAGTATGTCCACCACAATCCTCAGCCTCATGTTTGGAATGTCGTTTTGGGCTATCGAAAATGGTGGTGGATGGCCGCGTGCAAGAAAAGAAGCGAAGGCGAGCATGAAAACACCGCAGCTCGACTCGTCCGACTGTTGAGGGACACCATGAACAACCACCTCGGGCGCTGGAAGATCCAGTTTCGCATTTTGACCATATTGACTAACAACTTCATCACGGAGGTATTTCGTGAAGTTTGCAAACACATCGGAAAAAAAAACGCCATCGTCTTGTAGGAAGGAGTCGTACTACTCCAGCCGTTCTTTGCGGACACATAATAGGGCCCAATGGACTCGATTTTTATGAACAAGAATCAATACCATGTCGTACGAGAAAATATTCACATCTTTTGTCCATCTTGCAACCCTATCATATCGACATCCGCCACCGACGAGCTTGGTATAGAAAAACGGATTGAAAATCTAAAGAGAGGTACACCAGGCAACGTAGCGTTGCCAAGCAAGGCCAAATACGACTCCACCACCTCGTCGGAAAGCCATCCCCCCTGGACAAGTATCCAAAGATTTTTTCATCTCAACAGAGAAGAACTGGTCCCTTTGCGAATCGAGGAAATCACTCGTACCCGTTGCTGAAATCCCCGCAGACGTCCTGCAATATTCTCAACTCTGTATCGCTAAGCTCCTCAGTAGGCAAGGAAACGCGAAAAGATGATGTAGCCCCAGCTGCACAAACACCCACGAACAAGTGTGAGGAGTGACCAAAATCACCGGGGCGAAATGGCTAAGAACTATGTGCCCTTTTCCAGGAAAGTTATATCCCCGACAATTGAATATGTCTTTGGCGATGTACTTAGGATACGAGTCTTTGGAGACACCCCGTTTGGCATGGTCATCGGACCCATCAGACAAATCAGTAACGCTTTCAATAGACGCAACCACATGTTTCTGCAAAGCTTCATCCTTATCTATTCCACAAGCCTTTAGAACCCTGACAGCTCTTTGGGAAAGGCGAGGCATCTGGACCCTTTTAAACAACCCTATACCTGACGCCGACTTCTTCGGTAAAGCGGCCAATAACCTCCCTAAAAGACATTTCCCGCGCATGGCTTTTGAAGGTTTCATGGGCAGGGACATTGACAACCTCACACTTGTGAAATATAGAAAACAACCCACAACCCACAAGTTTTTTTTTAACAAGTGGTAATAGCTACATGAGCCCATCACATCAATTTGGATGAACACATAGCTGAATAGTGACAGATATGTGAGTGCTACTGTTCACAAATCTTACCGTGCTCAAGAGCCCTTCGAGGTAAATTGCCCTCCTGTCACACCACTGTGCCAACGTCGATGGAGGATTCGACGTTCTTCACCTCGACTACGGCTGAGTCGTTAACAGCTCGGTGGCAGCTAAGTCGCTACCCAACTCGATGGCTTCCTGAAGTACCATTTCCCGACCGGTACAGAGGACAGACGCTTGATCACCTTGTTCTTCACCGCGGGTGGACGGAGAATCATGATCTTTCCGCTTTGGATCCATCAGGATGCCGACCGCCACCACACCGCCTTCCACCACGGGTTCTTCGCCTTTCTCATCGCCATGAACCCGAGCTTCCACCAGGGGTTCTTACTCGCCTTCCTTATCGCCAAGAAGCAAAGCTTCAACGAACGTGCACGCACGTCCTTCCTCCCCACGGTCATTGCCTTCCTCAAACGTCCACCGACCTTCCTTAACGTCACTCTCTTGTGTCGTCGCCACAAACGACTTACTGTGCAGAACCTCTTCGGACGTCCCGGTCACCAACACTCCGGCGTCGAGCCCCTTCAACACTTCGCGAGCCGGCCATGGTCGAGTCTCCTCTTCCCGTTGGAGAGCATCCGCTTCTTGTGAGAGCTCCTCTTCCCCCCGAAGTTGCTGTACTCTTGCTCTCTGAGTCGACAGACGCACCCTCCGAAGCTTGACGTTCATGCTCGCTAGCCCCGGTCTCCAACACTCTGCGAGACTGCCAGTGTTGAGTCTCCTCTTCCCGCTGTACAGCATGCGCTCCCGGTGAGAGCTCCTCTTCTCCAGGAGCTGTTGTGCTCTTGGTCTCAGAGTCGACATATACACCCCTCGAAGCATGACGTTCATACTCTCCACCCCCGGTCTCCAACACTCCTGCAGCGGGCCCCTCCAGCACTTTGCGAGACTGTCAGTCTTCAGTCTCAACATATGAGAACGGCAGTGAGTAGGGAAACATTGTGCCCAACTGAAGATGGGGGGGTTTGGAGCTCACATTTTCTTGGCCCCGCGGAACTGTAGAGTGAGGAGCACTGCTGGTGGAAGGCCTGCAGGGCGACGTCAGTAACTCCGAATGTATTCGGACTTTGCGGCGAGCACTGCTGGTGGAAGCCCCGCAGGGCGACGTCGGGAGTTCCGAATCTATTCGGAGTTTGAGGCGCTCGCTGGAGCCGAGGGAACTGACGGTCTCACTTTCGCTCCTTCGCAATGCAAGCATCCCGGCCTCCAGGCAAAACAAAGACGCAGTTCCTGCCTAGGAATGGTTTTGCCGCTCAGGAGATGCTGCCATATGCTGCAGACGTTCGCCCTCTTCCAAGAGGGGTAGGAGCAAGGTGTTGTGCACAGGAGACGTCGGCTCCGTACGGTGGGACGAACTTTCCTCGACATCAGGAAACAAAGTCCTCGCAGACAAGTGCGAATCTACTCGTAGTTGATAAGACTTCAGGGCGGCCTCGTCTCGCATATCGGAATCTCGACTCCCTACATAGTGGCTATCAGTATCCATAGACTCGCGACTCCTGAACGCTCTACGCTTTCCGCCCGACCCCTTTCCGCCCGACCCCTTCCCGGCCGACCCCTTTCCGCCCGACCCCTTTCCACCCGACCCCTTTCCGCCCAACCCCTTCCCGCGTGACCCCTTTCCGGCAGATCGTGAGCCGTCCCCTCCCTCACCTCGTCCAACAGATCCTGAGCCGTCTCCTCCGTCACCACCTCCATGAGATCCTGAGTCGTATGCTCCGTCACCTCCGCCGTCTCCTTCGTCCCCTCCTCCACCGCCTCCCGGATGCTGACCACCCGACGGAGGTTGCGGCATGCGCCAGTCAATGACACGAGACGGTGCCGTCTCTTGTGCATAGAAATGCGCTCGAAACTCCAACATGTTGTTGACGTACAACTCATCTAGCTTTTGGCCTGCATACGCATTGACGTCCGGCAGTCTGCTGTCGGGGTTCATAACCGTCAAATGCTCCACCAGAGCGTCTCTCGCCCTTCTCTTAAATGGACCCGCTCCCAGTCTGTTCATGCTACTCCACTTGCCATCAGCTTCCTTCATTGCCATGACCCACTTTCCAGTCTTTACAGCAGGTTGGAATTTCCTGGGGTGCCAGACGATGTTGTGGCCCCAGACATCCTCCGGCGTGAACCGGTGATGCTTCCTGTAGAAGAAGAGTCTTTCATTCTCCCAGGTATCATGGTCCCTAGCGAGCTTGTTACTAGGTTCGTAATCATAGTCTATCTCTTCTTCCCCATCATCAGAAGATTGGTCCTCGACTGTTTCGCGCTCAAACACACGCTTCAAGCCGGCGGGGGACGTGCTATATCTCCGAGGAACAACCTTCCCTTCGTCACCAACCTGTGCAACCACCCGAGGAAGTGGCATGGACTCGAAATGGAAGGTTTCGGAGTCGCTCATCTCCTCCATGTCCTCAGCGTCGAAAGTGTCCTCCTCGTTGAACTGCGCCTTGAAGTTTTCGAGGGTCAGTGGTTTGGCCATCAAGAAGAAAACGTGCTCCAGCCTTTTGAGGAAATTTGAGACAGACTTCCTGGGCGCATCGTGGTAACCATTCAGCACACCGAACACCAGGTTCCTCTGTCGGTTGTATTCTAGGTCGGTCGGAGAAGGCGGTCCTGGCTGGAAAAGGAACTCCCAAACCCATGTCCTTTTCTTCTCGGGCAATTTCCAATACATCTCACGTTTGGGCCGGGCTTGGAGCATTGGCACGGGGAGGCTTCGATGGACTACTGCCCGGGAAGACTGCGATCGTGTTGTCTGCTAGGTTCTCGCCATTGAAAATCACGTACAGGCGATCCTACTCCTCGACCAGCATGTTGCCTTCCCGAACAGTGGCCTTCCTTTGTGCATGGCGCACCCACTTCCCTGTTCTGACGTGATGAACGCTAAGCTTGGCCATGCCTTTCAAGAAACTGAGCTCCCAACGAGAAGGGAAGAAGACAACAAGTGCCCAGTGCCTTGGCGATAGGGTTTGGAGAACGTCTTGCAAGGAGGCGAAATCGTCTTCTTGCCAGTCTGAGAGGAGTGTGGGATCACACAAATCGAGGACGTACAAGTTGCATACGTAATATCGCACAATCTCGCAGATCTCAGTGAGACGACTGTGAGCTTGGGAAGGAGGACAACCGAAAGGAATAAGGCTGGTCACCTGGTTGAGCTTGTGCCATTTGATGTGCCTCATATCCTCGCTGACCCTGATCGTGTCTTGGACTTCTTCCTCCGTTAGTCGCAAGATGGAACGCACGGACTTCTCGAAAGATTTAGGGAACCTGTCATCATCGTACATTCTCTTCGTTTCGTCGAGGGACTCCTTCTCGTACGGAAGAGTACGTTTGCAAGTGTTCACGTACTCCACCGCGCCTTGGAAATGCTTCCGCAGTTCGACCCACACCTGCTTCGTGAGGCCCTGCGGCCCGAACTCCGCCAGAAGCTGCCCCTGGGTCCGAAACAAAGGGCTCCCGTAGCGCCAAACCTCTGCGTCCTCCTCCGATTCAAGAAACAAGATGTAGTGAAACATGCGGAGCATCATGCGGTTCACTTTCCTCGTCGCTACCATGTCTTTAATTCCAGGCTTCTGTTGGCGTTTCGGACTCCCGCCCGTCGATTGCACGAACACTCCCCTCAGCGCGCGAATGTCGTCGAGAATCGACAGTTTTTCGGCATCGGTCATGTCAGCGAGACACTGCCAACAGAACATGTCTGAATCTTTCACGACGACGAAGAACTTGTCGCCCGCCTGCGTTTTGTTTTTGGTCGGAGGCGGCGGAACTTGGACCAGCGACCCCATCTTCGTTTCACCAGCCGCTCCTTTCGAGCCCATTTCTGGAATCGCTTGAAAACCCAGAGATTTGTCTGGCATGTATTTGTCCGGCTTAGACAAAGGCGTCTTCCCGTTTCCGCCCAACAACTCTCTCTCGGCCCATTTGTCGTAGAACTTTATGTCTTTGTGGAAAACGTCATCATCGGCCGTCACGAGCGGCATCTATTGCCTCAATGCATTGCCAATGGCAGCCACGTGCTCCTTGTCGGCGAGCGTTGTCGCTTTACGTGCCATCGTCCAGTGAGCCCCGTTCGGACTCTTTCCCAAAAGCAGGTTTTGGAATTCGAAAAACGCTTGTTTTCCGGCCTCCTTATTGGAAGGGTTCCCTTGAATGGCCACCGACCTTCCTTGATTCTCACATGCCTCTCCCATGTCCTCGAAAGCGGCATTCTGCGCACACTGCTTAGACATCTTGTGCCTTGTGTTTTCCATGAGACTGACCTGCAAATAGCCCCCAAAGTCTTCGTCGGAGAACCACACGACTCTCGCCGGCCACGAGTGCATCTTCCACAATTCGAATATCGCCTCATTGGCCAACTCCTTCACAGCAGCCACGGTGTACTGTCCGTTGACAGGGTAATAGAAGTACTTGTCCTTGTCCTCTGGCTTGAAAACATCCTTGTGAACCCTCTTAGCTCTCTCCGGCTTATGCATCACCGACTTGTAGATGGGTGCCAGAACCAAAGGGTTTTTCGTCCAAATCTTCCCTTTTTCCTCGTGGAACTGCCTCACCATCGCACCCTTGATGTCCAACACACCATCGCGAGTGAAACTGCGGTGATTGTAATATCTTTCCCACGGCGGGATGTCGCAGACCCTCCTGGGGTCGATGAACAGTTGAATGGAGAGATCCTTCTCCACGATCTCACCGTCATCGTTCCGCTCGTATTCGAGATTAAACGTTGCCGCTTCATTGTACTGCCTGCCGACCGCCCTTTCGCTACCAGTCGTCCCCTCAGCAGTCTTCCTCCTCCGAGGTTTCTTCTGGCCATCGCCTTCTTCAGATGCCAGTTTCCTTTTGGATTTGTCTGAAGGTTCTCTCGCGGCGGCAATGCCTAGACGAGCCGAATCTCCTTTACCCATAGCTTGTTCTTCGTGGATGGTCAAACCGTTGGGCCTCCTCGCTTTCTTAGTTGTTGTTGCACCCTCTTCCTTCGACTGCCTCTTTTTCACTCCTTGTTCTTGTCCGCCACGCATCCCTGGCGACCTCTCTCCCGAGGCACGTTCTCCGACGTCACCTTCATCCCCGCCAATCATTGGCTTCGAGTGTCCTTTCATCCTCTTCATGCGTCGTGTTTGTTCCGCCACCTCTTCTCGCACCGTCTTCTGTCGCTCGCGCTTATTCTCCGAAGAAGTTGGCTCCCCGCCTGAGTTGTCGCGCACAGCGCCCATCCCTTCAGCCTCATTCCCTCCAACCTCTTGCCCTGATCTGCCCGCTTCTCTTCTCTTCTCATCTCGAATCGAATACGTGTCGCCCTCGCAGACGACCTTGAGGGTTTTCGGAGTACCGACCCAGTGAGTCCCTGCATGTGGAGAATGCAAGCCAGTCGTGTTTCCAAGAGCCTCCGGGCCGACCTCCGTCTGAATGTTGCGTGCGTGCCCCTTGCCCAAACCCCCACTGCTGTTAATCACACTCCCGTGCCCCACTAGCGTCACAGGGGTTTCTTGAGCCAAGCTGGACGACCCCTCATGGGCAGTCAGAAGCCGAAAAACATATTCTCGCGGAAGAACCGGATGGTCTTTCGGCACCTTCAGCGCGAGATCGAGATATTCCACTGGCGGTGGAAGACGCCTGCTGTTGCCATCGTAAAGCCCTTTGATGTGACGGCAAAGTAGCATATTCGAGCCGTACCCTGCGAAACTCTTGATCGGCACTATCACACCCTTAACCTATGTTTCCCCTTGGCCGCGGCCGAAATGGGAGGGGGTCTCGGGAGAGGGGAGGGGGTTTCGGGAGAGGGGAGCGGGTTTCGGGTGGGGGTGGGGCGCCGCACGCCCTTGAAGTGGTAGACCGACAAAAAAATAAAAAACGGCGGGGTCCTAAACATGGGTCTAGAAGGTTGGGCCGGGAAAATTCTTGCGTCCACCAGACTGCGGTTCGTTGATGCAGGTGCGTAGCGAGGAAGGTAAGCAACACAGAAAAAATAAAAATAAAAATATGCGCCCCCTGCAGGTTCGTTTTTTTGTGGGTGGGGGTATCTGGTGGGTGGGACCGTGGGGGGATGGGGGTCTGCAGGTTCCGTGGGTGGGTTTGTCGTTGGGTTGAGTGGGGGAGGGGGGAGGGAGGGCCGTGGGGGCACTGCGCGGGTTTCGGTTCAAGTGTTGAAGTGCAAGTACATAGTCTCCCACTGCAAGCGGTGGGATATTGGGTACTTGAACTTGGACATCAGGGGCGTGGGGGTTGGGCGTGTCTCTTATACACATCTAGATGTGTATAAGAGACAGACCCCCTTAAAATCACTGTGACATCGAATTTTTCCCTTGTTGGTTGTTTCCCAGGTAGCCTTTTGGAGCGCCCACTCTGCAACTCAGAATAAGCTCCAGGTTTGTTTGAGTGCTCCTATGCTTCTTAAAATATTTCTCAGTCGGACACTGGTCTTGGGCTTGGATTCGGGGTCATAGTCTAGGACATCCCAGGTCCTAGACTCAGTAGACTGTGCGTGGAAGGGATTACCCCCCGCACAAAGCCTACTTGCCCTGCCCACCGAGACACACGGCCTAAAGGCCTGAGGTGTCGCAGGGGCCGCAAGGCTGTTCCTTCAGCCATGCAATATCGTGAAGGGGTTGACCCTCACTATACTTCGAGATTGACACTTGAGTGTCATGAGCAGTACTCGGATCCACGAGGGGCCACTTGATTATGGGCACTACATAGTACGCCATCATTCCGACTGCTTGTGTACACATGCATTGCGAGTCGATATGAGATAGCCCTGCGCCCGCGCGGTCTTATACTAAGTCTCGCGAGTGTCGCCCATCCGATTTCCGCGTTGGAAAGTTATGGGATGGCTACTAAAGGGACTAGGAATGTTATCGCGTCATTGTTATGTTGTTTTGTGTCGTTTCGTGCGTATGTGTGTGTGTGTGTGTTTTATTTTTATGTTCGTAGTGTGGTGTACGCGCAGTAAGCGAGATACGCCCTAGTCGACCGACGTCGAATTGCACCTCGAACTTCAGTCCCCCCAGTGCGCCGGTTCCCGTGCGGGTCCGATAGAGGCGTGGGACCGTTGTCAGGCGGCCACAAGTAGTGCGCCGCCTGAAAATGGCAGTTTTGGGACTTAGACTCAGGGATAAGTCCGTGTTTTGGCAATACATTGGACTGACCAGGCGGCAGAGATTAAGGGAACTCACGACACCCCTAATTTTGGGTGTGTCGACCATTGAGGCTAGGCCTCGAAGTTGTAGAGAAGGACTACCGCTTCTTAATGGGATTACCGTCAGTTATTGATTATTTCGATAATATATTTAAAAATAAGAAAAAGGATCAAAGGCAATAAAAAGAGAAAAGGAAACAAAGAATTTTCGTTATTTAATTGAAATCCATCGGATTTTATTTTGACAGGATTGCTTTTATTTTCGTTATTTTCGATAATGGAATTAAGGAAAAAGAGAAATAAGTAAAATGATAAGAAGGAAGAAAGAAGCCATGATTATCGGATGATCGGCGGAATTTTGCTCAATTTATTCACGATCGGGTTTACCCNAAAAAAAAAAAAAAAAAAAAAAAAAAAAAAAAAAGGCACAAACGCCTCCCTCTCCGTGCGGAAGGTCCAGATCCTCTACCTCCGGAAGGACGCCCGCGGCCTCTCCCGGTGGACTGTCGACCACGCGCTCCTCCCCGGCCCCATCCACCACCTGTGCCCTGCGCACCGCTAATGTATGCCGCCTGTACTGCCGCGGCTGTCGTGGACATGGCCGCTCTATGTCTGCGGACTGCACTATCAATCGACTCGGACTCTGTGTCTGCGTCCTCGTCCTCGGCCCCCGCTGCAGCAATCGTCTGTCGATGCCTCTGAATCGCGTCCAATGAAGCCTGGCTGGCGGCGATCTCTACTGCGAGTCGAGCCTGAACCTCCGTGACGGCGCTGTGTCGTCTAGTCCCACTCCGCATCAGCAACCCCTCCTCGCCGGATGTGTAGTGTTGACCCTGCTGCATGTCCGCAGCTGTCCCTCGGGCCGGAATCGGCGGTGGGATCAAAACTCTCCTCATCGCTGATCGAGACAAACCCAGCATGCGGCCTGCCATGTGAAGACTTGGACGTCCGGAGCCACCCTCGCTGCTGCCCGCAACCTGAAACTGAGGTGACAAACGTCTTGCGAAGGCGCCCCTCCCGGCGTCGTAATCCGCTCTCATCTGGTCCGAGACCCGGCGATGAGCTGCCCGTTTGCCGGCAACACCACCTGCGACAGGCGGCGGGGAACCGGCAACGGGCGCACGGGCCATACTCGCGTCGGCGCCACCCTCCGTGCTCCGTGCGGGTGGCGGACGCATTGATCCGACAGATCCGCCGCCGTCACTGCGGCGGCCCGACCCGCCACCAACCGGCCCGGACTCCCTCCCTCTAATGCCGCTGAGCGACGAACCTGACCATCTAGGGATATCCACGATGTAGGCCGCCGGGGGCGAATACGCCCCTCCAGGAGGGCGCCTCTCCACGCTCCTGCGGCCCGTGTGGGGGAAAGGGTCATGTGAGCCGAGTCGCGCCAAATCGTCGGCATCAAAACAAGCCTGCACGAAGGCCTCTAGCTGTGGGAGAGGTAGTGAAGGCACAGACGGGTCCCTCAACACCAAAGCCAGCCAACCCTCTCTCTCTCTCTCTCCACCACCGTCGCCGCCGTCGTCACTGTGGTCGCCAAAGTCGCCACCGTCGACGCCGTGGCCGCCGTCGTCGCCGCCGTCGTTGCCGTCGCCGCCGTCGTCGCCGTCACCGCCGTGGTCGTCTCCGTGGTCGGACCCCTCCTCGTCCTCGCCGCCACCCTCCCCCCCACCACCCACGGCGACACCATCTCCCTCAACACCCGTGGGGACACCCTGTCGGGCCGCCCCCGCAAGAGTCTCCCCACCAAAACCAACATCGCCTCCGTCACCGCCGCCCCCCGCCCTGTTTCCAAGTCCCTGCGTTGGCGCTGCTCCTCAATATACGCGAAACGACCCTCCCATCCCAACAAAGTCTGCAGCCGCTCCTCCTCCTCTCTGTCGACTCGGGCAATCCGCTCCTCCGCGGTCTTTACATGGCCCCACACATCAGAATCGTCGAGGAGAACGTCCGACAGTGAGCCACCCCCCTGTCTCGGGGCACTGAGATCCCCCAAACCCCCGCCAGAGCCCCCGACGTAGAAGTCGTCGGTGCGCAGCTCGGACGGCGAGCGGTGGCGGACACCAGCGCAGGATGGAGTCCTCTCCATCTCCGGAATATCCGTGAGCCCGGTTCCCTCATGGTGCTCGGTCGCTGGTGTCTGTTGTCTCTCCGCTGCCGATATCGACCTCGTCCTTGGCCTGGTAGGCTCGGGCAGTCCCGTACTCCGATGATGAGAGGGAGAGAACCGACGATCCCGAAGGCGCACCTCCTCCTCCTCCTCCGCCTCCTCCGGCTCGCTGTCCCTCCTGACCTCCCAACGTCTGCCCGTTTGCCGAAGGCCTCGGAGTGGCTCCTACTCCTCCACGTGCTCGTCGATACGTGGTTGTCGTCAACGACGACCACCGGCTCTGCCGGTGCCACTAGCCTGACCACCGGACGGCACATCGTCAGTGATGACGGATGTGTGTGGAGTCATGCCGTCAGGACCCGCTCCGCCGTCGCGTCACCGCTGATGGGAGCGTCGTCATCGTCCGTCCACTCGTCGTCCGACGTGTCGCCGTCCGCATCAGCGTCAAACGTCTGCTCCGGCCACGGCCGCAGCTCCACCGCCCTCTTGCCGAACACATCCTAAACTGGGTCGGCTCTGCACGGTCGACAAGCATGGAAACCGAGGACCTGGCGCTCGATGTCCTGCTCGCTGAAACTGCCAGCAGGTCGCGCTCCCCACACCTCGGGATCCACGTCTCCCTCGTCGTCCTCCTGCCCTCCCGCGGTCTTCTCCAAACCGGTCCCCATAACTCAGGGCAACACGTAGCCACTACCCTGCTGTGCGCACCCGGCCAGTTTGAGATTTGTGGCAATCTCAACCAGCTGTGCAAGCTTGGCAAAGCCAAGCTTGTGGCGCCTCGCCGTGTTCATGCGCTCGTGCTGCACCCAGTTCCTCTCCGCAGGAGAGCCGGACGTCCACAAGTGCATCACGCCTAAGTAGCAAATCCGGATATCCGGCAGACCAATTTTATCCAGAATTTTCAATCCGGATGAAATTTCCGGATTAATTCCGGATATGCAAAATCCGGCCCTGCGCAAAATATTTTTCTTTTACCGAAATTTTGTTTTTTCAAAAAAATCTGAAAAACAATTATGTTGTTCAAATCAATGATATGAACAACTTTTGGCTTGAGGCCATCTTTGACAACAGATATGAAGATAAAAAATAAAACAGAACAAGAAAATAATATTTAGAAAAAAAATTATAAAATGAATAAAGCATCCTCCCTCTAAACCCCGTAATTCCCTATCTTATACCCTTTGAACCCTTCCAGGCCCTATCAAGCTTTTCATGAAATAGTAACGTACTTCAATTGTATTTTGCATGCGCAATATCACTTTTTTTTTTCTTTTTTTAGGCATTTTTTTTAATCATCCAGATTTCCAGATGATCCTACCCCCCGATCATCCGGCCAGATATTCTGACCGGATTATCCGGCCAGATAACCCATGCTACCTAGCATCACACGGATGGCGATGGTGCGCAACTCAAGGTGATGACGTCCGTGATCAAACCACCAATGGGCACAACGCTCAGTCTCGCGGTCCCCCCGACAGTCGTCGGCCTCGGCATCGGACAACTGCCGATCTTCCCAATCTCCCCGCCGCGAGTGGAAATGCCTGATCTGGTCACGGACTGTCCTGTATAGTCTGCCGACCAGATCGCCACCAGTCTGTGCGAGCAGAAATCTGTCGCACTCCTCGACCACACGGGCGTCGTCAGTGGTCGTCTGCAACGACTCATAATATCGGAGGGACCGGCGGCGAGGGTTGAGGAGGTGTGCCGCAGCATGTGCGGGCTCGAGCATGTGGAGGTTGCGGTCGGCAACCTCGCGCACGCACGGCTCAACCATGTTCGCCTGCACATCCACCCTCCTCATCAACTCCAGAAGATGTGGACTCCACTCGTAAACGATGGACATCATCATCCCCCCTCGAACCATCCTCCTCAAGAGCTGGTGGATGGGCGACATAACGAGTGCCGTACCACCGGTCACCGTTCACGGGGTTTGTGGATGGAGACCGGTAATGAAGTTCACCCCGTTCACGACACGGGAGTTCATGGAGTTCACCGAGAGCGTTTTTTTTTTTTTTTTTTTTTTTTTTGGTTGGGGACTCCAAGGTATGTTTTTTTTTTATAGGAGGGTGGCGGACATCGAAACGTAACTCCCTATAATTTTTTCAAAAAAATAATTTCACGAATAATATTTTTTTTAATTAAAAATGAAAAAAAACAAAAATCAACCAGCCAAAATAAGCATTTTCGTTTGCTATTTTGTAGGTCATTTCTTTTTTTTATTTTTATTTTTTCAATGTCATCACGTTGTGGGGCTTGAGGCGAATATACCTGGGGGAGCCCCAAAAAAAAAAAAAACACTCTTTAGTGGTCAGCCCGTTCACCAAAAAAACACCAAATGAACTGCCGGTCACGGTCACGGGTACGGCACTGTACATAACGCAGATGGCACAGTTAACGCATCGCCAGAACTCGCCGTCGCGGATCTGCTGCTGAACCCACTGTGCCTGGAAGACAAGCCTGCGCTCCCACAGGATGCCAGCCCACGCGTCGCCGTGCAGCATGCTCTCTAACACGTCCCGCCGGCCTTTGAGACACGTCAGCATCAAGAAAACTGATGCAAACTGGGTCTCAACGGGCTCAACCAGCGTGACATGAGGGCTCATCCTCCTAAAAAGGGCGAACGCAGCGCCGTGCGATTTAATAAATCGCACTAACGCTCGGGCACGGATGATGGTCTCCTTGACCCACCCCACTCGCGTCCCGAAGTCTGACAACATTAAGTTGTAGACGTGGGTGGAGTAGGGCAGCCAAGTGATCCTCCTGATGTCTGCGTCGGGGTCGGTGGCGAATCTGCGGGCCGCCGCCGTATAGTTATTGGTGGAGTCCGTGCGGAAGCCGATCACGTCCTTTGCAGGAAAGAACAAGATGATGGCCCGCCACCTGCGATACACGACATATGCAGTGTCAGCGACTGACCCGTCACGTGCGACGGTCGCATATAGCAGGGCGCCGTTGGCGCCCCCGGCCAGGAAGTTCACGATCGTCTTGCCGCTATGCGACTTCCTTCCGTCGGAGAGGATGGTGGCCCCGGTGTGCCGAAAAGCGGCCCGCACCTCGGTCACCATCGTCGCCATCTTCCCCCTCTGCGAAGGGATCCCGGCGCCCGCTGCAACCCTATAGGAGGGAAACTGGAAGCGAACGTTGCGGGGGACTCTCTCCGCCGCGTGACGCACCCTTTGGAACTCCGGCCCTCTGAAGGCGTTGAACGGCAACCCCTTCGTGTAGATCCACTGCAGCTCGTCGATCGTCGTCTGACGTGCCCTCTTCTCTCTTGCCGTGTCCCGCACGTCAACGTCCTCCTCCCCCACTTTCCTCTTCTCCCTCCTAGCGCGCTCCAACTCAGGTCGTGACGCCCTCGCACCGCGTCCCGCCGGGCCATCCGCTCTCGATGTCATCACTACCTCCTCCCCAAGCAGATCGGGCTCGCAGCGTCCAGCTGCCTCGTCTCGAATCCCCGCCTCGACGACCCCGCCCTCGCCCCCCTCCTGCGCATCGAGGAAGTCCTGCATGTCGTCCCTCTCTGCCTCGTCTGCCCGTGGCCGCTGCCCACCCGTGGTCGATCTCGTATCCCGAATTCCCTCGTCTGCCATCCACCTCTGGACCCGCTGAGCAGTCTTGTCCACGAACGTGTTCCCCGTGTTGTTCCAGATATCCGCGAGAACTCTCATCCCCGTAATCTTGCAGTACTTGGGCTGTGTGAAATGGCGAGCGGCCTTCGTCGCATTCCCCTGCTACACATGGTTGCAAAACTTACAACGCAACTTCCGGTCCCCATGCATCTTCGACTGGTCCCTGACAAGTTGCCCCACGGTGACGAAGTTCCAAAGCGAGTTGCCCCGCCTCAACCTCGCCATCTCCCTATCAGACTGCGGGATGAATCCCCCACCCGTAGTCCCCCGTGAACCGCCAGACCCCTCACCGCTGGGCCCCGCACCACCCGTCATCGTCCCACAACCCCCCCCCCCCCCCCCCCCCCCCCCCCCCCGCCCCCACTCCTACGCACAGCGCACTCCGAGATTCGCAGTCCTTGGCCTCGCCGCCGATGTCGTCTCGTGGATGGTCCCTCCGCACCGTCGATGTCGTCCTCGCTGGCCCCTCCGTAGTCCTCCCCCTGCCCGCACCTAAGGCTGGCATGGGTCTCTCGCTCAGACGCGTCAGACCCATCCACACGGCCTGCCTCAGCCTCCCCCGCGGCGGCATCCACGGCGTGGCCGTCATGGCCGCTCCGGCCGCGTTCGGCCGCGTTCGACCACGTTCGGCCGTGTTCGGCCGAGTTCGGCCACGTTTGGCCGCGTTCGACCTCGTTCGGCCATGTTCGGCCAAGGCCGGGCACTATAGGGCCGCGCCGCCTGCGCGGCGATGGCGGGCGCGCGACAAAGATCGGTGTCGCGGCGCTGGACTGTGGGGGTCAGGGCTTGGCAGTGCCGCGTGCGGCCTCTCTCACTCTCTCTCTCTCTCTCTCTCTCTCTCTCTCTCTCTCTCTCTCTCTCTCTCTCTCTCTCTCTCTC